AGAAGTGAACATTTCTTATAATATTTTAATGATTTTTTTTAATACAAATGTTCACTGTTCAGTTATTTTTATTACGACTATTACTATAGATTAAATTTTAAATTATTATATTGAATATAAGAATGAAATAAAAAGGGATAAGGAAAATGTATAAAAAAAAAAAGAATAGTAAATTTTAAAAATTGAATTTAAGAAAAGATTTAAACAATCACTGGCAGTATAGGATAAACTCCTGTAATTATTTACTTCTATTTTTAAGCAACATTTCACTATGCCATTATAAGATGTGAATGGGTAAAAAATGTGTCTAGCTAAGTTTGGGATAGTTAAAAAAATATCAAACTTTTTTTACAACCCCACTTTCAGCCTTGTGCCAAATTGTATCTTAGTGCAATAAATAAAAATTCTCTATGCTGTTGAGTATGCTCTTTTCCTATTTGTTTTCATTTCTATTTTTTCATCGATCAAAGTAAGTAAATGGTAAAAACCGAGTGGTGCAGCTTACTGCAAATTGAAAACTACCAGAGAACACGAGGAAAGAAAATGTGTTGCATCTTTACAGGTTTTCCTACAGAAGAAATATGTAGTTGAAGCAAAATTCAAAGACAAGAGATGCTGAATGTACATCAGAACTAGGAGGGGAGGAATATGAAGAAACTACGAATATTGTGGAGACAAATATAGAAATAAAAGTTGAAGAGGAATTTCCTGCAGGAATTAATGTTGTTAAAGAAATTGAAAGTCACAATGATGATGTGTCAAAGGAAGAGAGCTCCAGTGCATGTGGTAAGGACAGGTATGGATATTAAGAAGGAATTGATGAAATTACTGGAAATAAAGAAATAGAACAGGAAAACTGATTGCTGTGTATGAAGACATCACATTTTGGCCACAAACTTGCTCAGAGCAGTTGCTTGTTGATCTTGTAACATTAGGACTTAAAAGTTTCAAAACAAAGATGAACCATTTGCTCCAACTGTGACCAGGGAAAAATAGTTTGAGGGTAATGATACCACACTGGTTTTACAAAACTATGAAGAATGGAGAGACTGTTTTGAGATCATGATTGCTGTGCTATAAGACAAGCAAATCATTTTATTGTTTCTACTGTCGCTTCTTCCTGAAGACAGAGCAATGCAAATCAAGTCTAGCAAGAAATCCAGGATTTCAAAAAAGTTCTGGAAGCTTAATTCAAAAATGCCTAAACATGAAAATTCATCTGACCATCAAAGAACTTTCAAGGAATGGAAGATGTTGGAAATGACCTTTAATAAAGGGAAAACCCTTGACAGTAAACTACAAGAACCAAATATGAAGAAAGACAGATTTGGAGAACTGTTTTTTAAAAGTTAATTGAGAAGATGTATATAGTTCCAATAAGGGTAACTTATGAGCAAGTATGATCCTGTTCTTGGAAAGCATTACTTGAAAGAACTAAATGATAACCAGTGGTACTTGTCACCGAAAATCCCAAATTAATTCATTCATATCTTGGGAAAACACAAAGGAAAACATATTGGATTGAATTCAAAAAGCCAATTATTTTGCGATCATACTAGACAGCCCACCAGATATTTCTCATACTGATCAGATGAGTTTCATTTGTCAATATGTCATTGATGAAGACAAAGAAGTGGAAGTAAAGGAATCATTTCTTGGTTTTATCACTGAGCATGAGAAGACAGCTTATGATATCAAGAAAATGGTTTTGGATCAACTGGAGAAAGAGAAACTTGATTTCAAAAAATATAGAGTGATAGGATTTGATAATGTGCCTAATATGGCTGGAGTTCATGGTGATGTTCAATGTCTTCTATGAAACATAAATGAGAAAGTAAAATTTGTGCCATGTTCTAATCATGGTCTGAATTTATGCGATGTTCATGCCTCAGCTGTGAATGCAAGTGCAATTACATTTTTCAGAGTGATTGAGAGACTACATACATTTTCTCCTCTTCCAATCACCAGTGGAAAGTTTTATCTTTGCATGTAAAGGTCATGATGAAGCATTTGGTAACTACCCATTGGAGTGCATGTTATGAAGCTATTTGTGCAGTGAAAACCGAATACTCGCCAGCAGAGTAAAGTAGGTAAACCACTGCTAGTGGTGGACTACTTAGACAGCATATTACCCCCACTTATAATAGTGTCCAACATATTTATGAGAATTGGGACATAACCATTAGTATTCATAGCTATATTGGTATATAAAAGTAACCCACATGGATGCAATCAAAATTTTCTTTAACTGAAACAGGGACAGGCTGGTGTCTTAATCAGTTAATCAAAGTGAAATGAAGTGTGAGAAAATGGAAATTCCAGCTGAAAAGTGCATTAGAAGAAAGAGAAAGCTACCTGGGGAAAAGAAAGATGATTTATGTCAAACACTTGTGCAGGAAGTAAAGAGAAATCTTTACAAATGTCATGATCAACTTGTAAATGAACTGAAGCACAATTTGAATCCATGTATCATCTGTAAACTGTCTTTGCTGGATTATCATCGCAAGCAATCCTGGAAGATACTGAAGGCAAGTTAGAGTGAAAATTTAAAATTCTCAGTGGTGAATACGGTGCTGACTTAGATGTATCTAGGCTGCCTTTGGAAGTTCTCCGACTGGGACTTTTTAGCAACTGCTTCCAAAGTGGAACGTGACATGGGCATGATGACCAAATCATTGGCTTAGATCAGGGGGCATCAAACTCATTTCGATTCAGGGGCCACATAGCTCAGTTTTACATCAAGTGGACCGGAGATGTACAGAAAATGTCAAGGTGAAGAAAATTGTATTGTTTTTATACAATAAAAATTGTTACATGTTATATTGCAATACAATACTTTGAAATGGACCAAATTAGCTCACATTGAATTCTTTACAAAACATTCTAACATTCAGAAAGCTATGACTAGGCTAAGCTTTAACTTCAACTTTCTGACAATATTAGCCCTTTAGTAAACTTAGTGTGATCCAGACACTTAACACCTTTTAGCCTTGACAAGTGCATCAATATTAGGGGTGATTTCCTGTGATGCAGCTAGTTTCAGGATGTCATTTAAATTTTTGTTTGTTACCCTTGAACAGAGCTTGTTTTTTTACACTGCAAATCAATTATCTCAAATTGTGTATCAGTTGGCACATCAGAAGGTTTCACGGAGAATGGAATAAAAAAAGATTATGAATTCTGTCTCCAGTTTATCAAATACTTCAAAGCGTCACCTGAATTGTTAAAATAAACTGGAAATTTTCTCTCTGTACTGGCCCAAGTCTTCAGCACTTCCAGCATTGCAAAGATCTTTTAGATATGAAAAATGAGCAGGATTGTTGTTTGACAACTGTATCTCCTACAAAACAAGTTTAGACTTGAAGGCTTGCAGGTTGTCATAGTATTGTGTGACAACTTTGTTACAACCTTGCAACATTCTATTCAGGTTATTCAAATGGTCATTTATATCCACCATAGATGCAAGGTCCTGTACCCATTCCAGGGACTGTAACTGTACCACAGGCTTCCCTTTTATTTCCATGAAATTTACAGTTTCCCCTCATAGTTAAAAAAAATGGTTCAGTACAATACCCCAACTTAGCCATCTTACTTCAGTATGGTATAGTAAATCATGGCCAACATCTTTATCATCAAATTGACAATGGTTGAGGCCTCTGGCACATATAAAGTTAACAGTTTTAACAACTTCCATCACATGGTCCATTTTCAGGGACTTACAGCATAATGCCTCTTCGTGGATAATACAATGGAAAGTCCAGAAGCCTAGCCTTCCATTTATATATGCACTTTCGCCTTCAATTTCGCTACAACACCAGCTTTCTTTTCAGTCATTAAAGGTGCACTATCTGTAGCAACACTGACAGCACAAGCCCAATCTACTCCAACAACTGAATTGAAGATGTCTCCAAATTTTGTCATTCCTGTCATTGGTAATAACTGAACAAACTCTTCAGTAACTATTAAACTTGCATCAACTCCACAGATGAAAATTGCAAGCTGAGAAATGTCTGTAATGTCAGTACTCTCATCAATAGTAACTGAAAATGCCAGAAAAAATGCCACTTTTTTCCTTTGGCTATATCAGCTACAAGGTCTGAAATACAATTGGAAATAATATTCCTTGTCAGCAAAAAACTGGCATTTTTCAGGACACACAATTTCTGTAGCTTTCACCAAACAATTCTTCACAAATTCGCCATCAAAGAATGGCTTGGATGCCACAACAATTTCTTTAGCAATGAGGTAGTTGGTTTTTACAGTCACATCACTAACCTCCATACTATTACTGAAAATGGACTACTATTTCTTCAAACCAGACAACAATTTCTTTATTTTGTCTGTCCTTGCTTTCACTTGCAAATTTCTGAATTTATCGCTATGATGACAGTCATAGTGGTGGCGAATGTTATATTCTTTCATAACAGAAATTTGCTGCATGCATATTAAACACACAGATTTTCCATTTACAGATGTGAAAAAAATATGAATGTTCACTTCTCTTGGAATACTCTGCATTTTGTATAAACCTTTCATTTTTTTGACAATGACATAGAAAAATCTAACCAAATTTTAAAAGCAATGCCACAATATACTTGACACAAGTAATATGTTAGGCTGGTTTCCGAAATACCCCTGAATATAGCATACCTTAAAACTATATTTTTAAAGACTAAACAAATTGTTTTAGCTTTCAATCAAGTCATGCTGTAAACATTGGTTTTTATCTAATCAACAAAGTTAAACATCATTGAACTTGATTAATATTTTAATTGGTGACCACTAGATAATATAAACACCTCATGGCCTTGTGCCAGACAAAGCAAGAAATAAAAAGAAATTGTCAATTTGAATTTTCTAATGATTTTTGGAATTTGTTACTTTGTAACTTATTACTAAGACAAGCTCAGAACTGCAGTTCCTCTTGGACTCACCACATTCACACCTTGACTCATCTGACATGCATTTGTAAATAATATATCAGAGAATAAGACACCTACCTGCAAGCATGCCTGGAATGTTTTCGAGAGGAAGAACACCTGAACAGAATTTATGTGTACATAAATGCCATCAATTACTCGTTCCACAAAACCATATTTGCCAGGCCTGAACAGAAAAAAAAGATCATATGATAAGAATATGATTTTTTTAAATTATCAACAAAAGTGTTACATTGCTAGTGTTTAAGAGAAGAACCACTGCTGTTTATATTAGTTTTGTAGTAGAACCAATTTCTGTTTGAAGCTCTTTCTACTAAATCTAAGAAGCAGAATGATAGTCCGGCATAAGGCCACAATAATGAAGCATCCAGTGAAGATTGAATTTGGTATTCCAGAAAAGAACTAGAATGAACATATTAACCATCCATCTATACCAAGTTTCTAATTAAATGAATAATGTATATAATACCTAAGTAAGTTGGAGCTTAAAAGGTATTAATAATAAACAAAGATGAAGAGTTGAAAGACATTAATCTTTACAAAAACCTTTTAAATAGTTTAAATAAGTTTTAGTTATGTTTTTTCCAAAAGTGATAAAAATACAAAGCTTTTAACTTCTCCATATCACATTGACACTAAAAGATCAACTATTCTTATTCTATAATAATTTTGAGCTTCATAATTCAAAGGAATTAAGTTCCAGAACATTAGTTGAATAAGCAGTTTTCTAACATTGTTTTTAACATTACAAATCTTCATTCCTGATGAAGACATGAAGCATAGTTGAAGTGTGCTAACAAAAGAGCATCTATCAATTATGGCAATGAAAGATTAAATGTAACTTCATCAGTAAATAATAAGGAAGGATAATAGAACAATTACCAAAGTGGGTGAAACTGTGTGCAGATTTTAGTCTTGAAATAATTAAAATTTTGCTTGCAAGATAGAGGGGGAGATGGTATGAACAATTATAGCCAATACCAAAATTTGTTTGCAAAAATGGAAAAAAACAGTCTCACCTTAAGCTTGCCACCTGCGGGTTATTTGGAGGCCGTGGGTTCTCACAAGTTTCTACTTCCAGAACGACTTCATCCAGGTACTGAAAAAAAGGATAAAGTGTATGAAATGAAAGCCAGAGTAAAAGGTAGGTGATATAAAATTAAAGAAAGAATATATTAATGAAATGAACACAGCCAAGATAGCTGTCAGCCAAGATAGGTGTCTTATGAAGAATAAACAAGAATTTAGGAAGGAATCAATAAAAAAAAGGATGAGTTGTGATCAGGTTTCTATTCTTTGACATGTTTTAGCTAATCTTTTTCTATCACTTCTAAGTGGGTTATGCTCAAGTAATGGACAATAAATACACTTCTATCACCTTTTAAAAGTTATTTACTGGAACATTTTAGAGAAGGGTGTTAGCCAAAATCCACCTGGGCCTCTTGAGTTCAATTTACAATTCAAGCACTTTTGAACAGACAGCAAGATTCTTTCATAAAAATTTTGTGGTTTAGAAATAAATCACACAATGTTCAAGGCCCACTTCATTTATCATAAATAGATGATTTATTAAAAAAATAAAAAATAAATATTGCAATATTATCTGAAATTCTTAAATGACTTATCAATATTCCATGTTGTTTTCTGTATATGTGTGCGTGAGGGGGGAGTGCCCCCCCCACACACACACACTTTTAACATTTTGTACAATTCATTGTACAGTACTTTCCAGAAACATAAAAACTTGAAATCAAAATAACAGAGAAACTGTTACAATAAACATCAGGAATAAACAGGCAGAATCCTAAGAATAAAAATTTGTCATAAAAGCTTTACATGAACAAGATCAAAGAATGGGCCAACTGAAATGTTTAATAAAAAAGAGTACAAATAACAAAGATGAGTCTTAGTATTAGGCTGTTACATACATTTGTTTGTTTCAACTGATGTTCTTCAAATGTTCTCAAAGAATAATATTTCATATCATTTTGTTGCTTCTTAGTAACTCTGGTCATCCTGTGAAACTGTTTAATGTTATCAAAATTTTATTTCAGATTAGACACCTATTTGAGATGGAATGTTAAGTAGACAATAATGAGCATGTTCAACATCTCTTTGCTTTTAATCAAAGCCACAAAGCTGCCAAAGCTGTTCAAGATATCTGTGTTGTATACAGAGATGACTTCATTATAGACAGAATGATATGAATGATATGAAATGTTTCAAAACAACAAAATGGTCAATGCTAAGCTGTATGTTGAACAAATGAACAGATTCAAAGAGGCAATTCATTTGAAGAGTCCTGACCAGAGATATTGATTATTCAACATGACAATGCTTGTCTCCACATCGCTAACATGACCAAAGAGATAAAGAGCTCAGTTAAAATGCTCTGCTATACTCACCATATTATCTTAATTTAGTTCCTTCAGACTACCACATTTTTTGGTTGATTTCTAACAATTTGAGGGGTTTTTCATTCAACAACAATGTGGAGTTTAAAATATGGCTTGATGAATTTTTAAGTTAAAACCTAGTGATTTCTATCGTTGAAGCATTGAACAGTAAATCATTGGCAGGAAGTCATAAACAATGAAATGGAACAGATTGTTTAATGATTCCTTAGAATTATTAATAAATAATAAATATTAAAATAAATTAACAAAAAAGCCAAAAAAATTTATGTAACAACCTAATACATTTAAATAGTCACCCATTCAACATTTAATTTTGTGGTTTAAATAGTTATTAATGTTTCTAAAGCTTACAAGCAGGTCAGCAATTGATAAAATTACTATCACTTAATTACAAACCAAAAACTAATCAGAAAATGTTCCATCATTTGATCATACAAATCAGCATCCTCACTTTAGTTGCTATGATCATTACACTGAAGCCAGAGAGTTCTCTGATCATCATGAGAAGGACAACTCACTGATCCAAGAGAGGATCTTAATGATTCATTAAATAAGAATACTTCAAGTAAAATCAACAGATAAAATTATTCATTTTAGTCTAGTTTATCTTTGATCTTATTTTTATTGCTTTTTAAGCTAAAAGATAATTAGTCAAGTTTATACTGAAAATGTTTCCTCTAAGGAATCAAAACCACATACTATATTTCTTGGCATAGAAGATGCTGTTTCCTTCCCAAAATAGACATTGAAAATTCAACCTTACAAAGTTACATTTTTATTTTAATTAAATGTTTTTAAAAGTCAAAATTGGGATGCAGCTTTGAGGTTTCAAGATCAGAAAATATGGTAATTCTTTATTAAATAGAACTCCCAACGACATTACACTTAGCAGGTTGAACTCAAAAATTAATCTTAATGGATGCTGCTAAGTATGGGTTCTCATTCCTCTACCCCAACTTCTATGTACCATGTCCCTTCCGGATGTTGATGATCATGGCTCTACACAATCTCATGTCCTTTGTAGTTCTTAATACCTTTTGTTTTTTTGCCATCTCTTCCAAACCCTGCTCTGCTATCCATTTCCTGAAGCTCACCAAGTAGGTTGTGCATTGCTTTCCTCTGGCCCTCTTACCATCAATCTTGTGAGTATCGAATTTCCTGTGAGTATCGAATTTTTCAACTTCTGAAGCCCTCTTTCCTCATTATGTGCCCCAGAAATTTCAACTGTCTCTTTCTGATGTTAAGCGTAAGTGTTCTTTTTATTATTCTCAGTATCATTCTATAGAACCACACCTACCCCAACACATTTTCTTTTAATTTAACAACTCTATGGAACAAATAGCATATTGATAAACTCCTCCCAAAGTAATCAGCAAGATAATCTCAAGTTGTCGCCCTTTTATACACTTCCATAAGAAGAATGAGAAACACAATTCTAAATAGGAAAATGAAAAGAAGCAATCATGACATGTATTGAAATCACATGAAATCTCTATCTGAATTTTAATGCCAATCTGCAGTTAAGTGTGCACCCAAGATAACTTACTACACTCCTATGATACAAAAAAAGAAATAATGATGCCATTAACTAAGGCTTGAGGCTGGACAATAACTTGGTTAACCATTGTATAAAAGAAAAACAACTTATAACCCACATCTATTGTTTAGATCTCATTGCCCAATTGTGGCACTGAGGCCATGAACTATTTAAATGTTAATTATAAGTACAAAATGGAATGTAATCTGGAAGAGAGAGAGAGAAAATGGAGACATTTTCCTTAGTAGAAATGGAACCATCTGGATTTCTTCTCTACTAAAGTTTATTTTTATCATAATTAGAGAGTCTGGTATGTGGACAAAAACAGATCTGTAGAAATAAATTTATCTCTTCCTTGAGAATTTAAGCAAACAAATATCAATGGCAGGAGAGAGAGGGAATTATATTGTTGCTGATGAAAACAAATTGGGGAACTTGGGGAAATGTAAACAAGGAACAACCCATTTTGAGGGTTGAATTTATCCTGTCATTGTCTAGCAAGTGATATGGTTTATATTTTCACAAGGCATAGATAAGTCCAAGAATGGAGAAATAATTTTATCTCTTCCTTGAAGAATCAAGAGAATTAAAATGAATGACTGCAATAAAACTACGCCCTTTCACCTACACACTTTAAAAATTAGATTTATCACAAAAAAGTTATAACTGCCCTGGGAGGTAGGCTGAGGTTGAATGCTGAGAAGGAAGAGAGAGAATTTGGCACTGCTTGTGTGGAGTGATGGCACGAGATGTAAAATAAAGCAGGTTGGAGTATAAGGGAAGAACAATCTCTGTAACTACTCCCAAGTAGGTGGATAATTTTCCAAATTTGGAAAGTTGATTAAGAAAGCAGAAATAGAGAAGAAAGAACCCTTATTAGGTGAAAATTGAAAAATCAACAAATCCCCAGGACCCTATGGCCTCATGCCAGTTTTGAGTTGAAGTGCATATAAGCAGGTAGCTTTGAGAGCTCAAAGACTTGGGCTGTGAAGCCTGCATGGACTACATCTGGAATCCAAGTCAGCTGCCACCAGATCTCCTGACTCTCAAGAACTTTGAACTCAAAACTTTAGACAAAGTCCAGTGTCACTATAGAGATTGATGTGGGAAGGGTTAATTTTTGTTGTACCAAGAACAACATAAACCAAAATAAGAATGATCCAATGAATCTTTTGGTTTTATTTTTTGTTGTGAAGATATTTCTTCCCTTAATTTAGCACCTGCGATAAGTCAAACCAGCACTGGGATTACTACGACATTTGATCTCCCACTGCTCTGAGATCAAGAACACAACATAACAGAGTTGGTGTGGATCAAAGCAGCCAGCAATCAACAACCAGCTTCAGTGTTGACAAGTGCAGAGTTAGCCCTGTGGTTAAAATGTTGTCCTAAAACCCTGAGGACTGGACCACTAAACATAGTTACACCACTGGGTGTAGGCAGCAATAAAAAGGGTTATACAAGGAGAGACTATCAAGAACCAATTTAAAAAAGACAAAATTTAAACAGAATCATTTGCAAATCCAAGACAATAGTAGAATATCAGACTAGTGGACATGGGAGTTGGTGCAATTGGTTAGTGAAGCCCATTGTCACTAAATAAAAATAGGGGAAAAAGTAATTTTAAGCCAAAATCTAATGCATCAATTACAGATTGAAAACCTTCAAAACACTATCTAATTAAGTTATAACTCTAATATGCATAGTTGAATAAGTATACATCTAATGGTAAATATTTAGCTATAATTTTAAAATGACAGTTATTTAATATTCATATTTATAACACCCATATATAGTAGGTTTTACAAGCAAATTCTGCTTAGAGAATTCAAACATGTACAAAGAAAACTAAGCTAAAGGTTACACAACTATAAACTGGTAGATATGATATAGTACTGACAAGATTTTATTGTGAACTATCTAATCTCTAAGCTATGAGATTGCCAGTCACTGTGCAGTATTGATTTCTATGACCACATGGTTTATATCTATAAATGCTCTATCTCTGATATTGAATACTCTTCTTCTGTAAATATAGCAAATTTTAAACATCACCTTATAGTAGTACTAATAGTTTTATATATATATATATATATATATATATATATATATATATATTATATTTTAATTTAAAGTAAAACAGACGACTTTACACAAACAAAAACTATTATTACTACTATGAGTTGGGGAACAAAGTCAAATAATTCATCTCAGACCTTCAGACAACTTAAATCATTAATATGTCCTTAGCAAAACTAATATGAAGTAAGAAGGAATGAATGTAGTAGAATTAAGATTGTTTTATCAAGATGGTATACATGTTGCTTTATAACAAGTTTATATGATACGAATTATTAGGTTGTCCCAAAAGTTCATAAACACTTGCGAAAAATTGAATTTTTATGCAATTTTTAATCGTTTTTTTACTTAATTGTTAATTTTAATAATTTTGAAAAAATTTTATTTCATTAAAATTTTTATTTAATTGTTTTTATGTTTATATTGTTATAGTGATCTTCATCTTTGTATTCCAGATGGCAATTGATAAAATTGAGCTGCGAGTTTTGATTAGATTACTGCTGGAAGCGAGGTCTTTCAACCAGAAAAGCTGCAGAAGAGATTTGTGTTGCGAAGGTGAAGGAACAATTTCATATCTGGCGATCTCAAAGTGGTATAAGCGTTTGATTCTACCGACATGAGTCTTGAAGATAAGCCTGCTTCGACACAGCCATTAAAGTTGGATGATGGAGACTTGCAAACTGGGTTGGACATTGCGCCTTCATCGAGCACTCGAGAATTGGCTGACGAGCTTGGAGTTGGCAAATCGACAATTCACCGACACTTGAAGCAACTTGATTTTGTTCACAAAAAGCCGCACCAAGATTCGCACAAACTCACCAAAGCACAAGCCAACAGACAAGTTGCAATTTGCCGTCAATTGCTCAGCAATCCATTGGACGAGCGTTTTTGGAAGCGCATTGTGACATCGGAGGAGAAATGGGTCTATCTGGTCCAGCACAATCGAGACAAGTGATGGGTTCAGAAAGGGCAAGAGACACCGTCGGTTCCAAAACAAGATCGACTCGGCAAGAAAGTCATGTTGTGCGTTTGGTGGAACTTTGAAGGAATCGTGCATTTTGAGTTGGTTCCGAATGGTCATGCCATCAGTGCCGAACTTTACTGTCAGCAACTAGAATGGGTCTACGAAAAGTTGAAGCAAAAGTACCCGGCTCTGATCAACCGAAAGCACGCTTTGATGTAGCAGGACAATGCCAAGCCACACACCACCAGGAAGACCAAAGACAAGTTTGAAGAGCTGGACGGCGTTGAGATTCTGCCACATCCAGCCTACAGTCCTGACTGTGCTCAATCAGATTACGGCCTTTTCCGCTCAATGCAACACTTTCTGAAGGGCCACCGATTTGACTCATTTGATGAAGTTGAGGAAGCGTGTCAAGAATTCTTTGATTTGAAGCCAGCTGAATGGTACTTTCACCAGATCCAAAAGCTTGCAGATCGATGGCAGAAAGTCTTGGAAAATGATGGTCTTTATTTTGAGGAATAATTTTTGTTGTTTTTGTTATTACTTGGCGAGTAAAATTTCAATTTTTTGCAAGTGTTTACAAACTTTTGGGACAACCTAATATTATTTAGTGGTCATTTCATATACCACAATATTGTGAATTCCTGCAATTTAACAGAAAATGTCATATCATCCAAAACATTATGATAATAACAAAAGTTTGTTTCTATTTCTACATGGGATTTTAAAAAAAAAAAGACTTTCTGTGTATTCTTTCTTATTCTTACATACCAAATATATTCTAATGTTTATTTCATTTATGCTAACAATAGAATTTTTTCAGATCTTGATGTTGTATTTCCTTACATAGACATGAATGTAGACAAAACCAAAAAAAGAAAGTGAGCAGCTATCAACTGACAAGCCAATTGCATGACATTCTTAAAAGCCAATAAAATCTGCATAACAATTCCCCTTTATTTTATTTTCTGTAAACTGACTTAAATAGGAGGAGACATCCCAAAGAGAAAAAGAATGTTCATGAATTAAAAGCAGCAGTGATAAATTGATCTGCCAATGTTGAGGAGGAGGAGGAGGAGGCTGTCCATTTTATTGTTCACCATGAAACTTTGGGTTTATAGCTGTCAATATGACTCAAATACAAAATTTGAGCTAAGCCTGATTTCCAAACAGACAATAAAATTATTTTGTGACAATTTATCTTTACATTTACTTTGTTTATAAAAAGAAACAGGTAGAGAAACAGCAATAAACTAACTAGAAAAATTTGAATAAACAATCAATTGGCAAAACCAACAGATTTACTGTTTTAGACATGATCACCAATATTCCGATGGCTCTCCACAATTTCCCGTCCTTTGTAAATATTAGTAACTTTTGTTTTTTTGTTATCTCTTCTAAATCTTGTTCTGCCATTCATTTACATAAACTCATTAGATGGGTTATGCGCTGCCCCCTGTATCCCTCCTGCCTGCAATCTGTCCTGTGAGTATAAAATTTTCTAAGCACTCTTTCCTCATTATGCACCCTAGAATTTCTCTCTTTCTGATGTTAAATATAAGTGTCCTTTTTGTTTCCATTTTTTCTAAAACTTTGTCTTTGCTCACAAGTTCAGTCTATGGTATTCTCAGCATCCTTCTGTAGAACCACATTTCTATTGTCTCAAGAGATGGTCCAGCATTCACTGCCATGTAAGAGGACTGATATTACATAACAGTTCAATACTCTTTTCTTTGTTTCTAATGAAATTTTCTTGTTTCTTAATACATTGCTTTTAGCTACTGCACATAAAAAACTTGTAAAATTTATATTTGTGTTGTTGAGTTTGAAATGAAACATTTAAGAACATTGAATGAATTAGGTACACTTAATGAGTGAATTAGACTCATTCCATCATTGGAAATTTTAGACAAATCCTACTGGAGAAAAAATTAGGGGTAACAAAAAATATATATTACTGTAAAATGGTAATACCGAAATATAACAACAATTTTTTTTGAATTATTGTTATATTTTGATTTTTAGCATTTTATGGTAATATATATTTTTGTTACTCCTTTTTTTTTTTTTTTTTTTTTGTCATGAATGGTTTCATTTTGTTATAAATTACTTTTTAATATGTCTGCTTTACTGCACTAATAAAATGCTACAAGAAAGAATTTTTTTCCATAATTGTTTTCCTTGTATATATGCAAAATAATAAATATGCAAGCTTGGTCAAAAAAAAAAAAAAAAAAAAAAAACTAAGGTTTTACATTCAGAAATGCCAAAGTTCATGTACAACAATCAATACTTTTCACAATTTGTTATTTGCCATCTCCAAAAGATTACAATACACAATAATGAGAATTTAAAATTTCTAGAAGGGAAAGGAGGCCAACTTACCAAGCAGATAGGTTGAGTTTTTAATTTTGTCCATTGAATCTGGAAAAAAAAAACAAAAAAAAACTGATCAGCTGATAAGAGACTCACTCATTCTTGTGTGTATGGTCAACATACAAGGTTGGATGAATAAGTTCATAGACTGAAAATTATTTTGTCTGTAATTTTCACTGTTTAATGTTCAATCTCTAATATTCATCACTGAATTAAGTGTATTCACAATGAAGGAAATTATGTTGAAAATTAACACTTATTTAAAAAAAAAATGACTTATCATAAGGCTACAGAATTAACCATAAACCTAGATACATGTGGGGTATGGCTGCATTTAAGTACTAAGTTTTATATTTCATATACATGTGTATATCTCAAAACACACATAAACATGATCACAAAACAGTTTGACAGAGAAATTAGTAGATATTCCAAAGCTGAAAATTATCAAAAGTAGGTATGTTATTTAATCATCAAATGTTTTATAGTAACTGAATAGAAAAAAATTGTTTAATTTTTATCAATGCACTACATTAGATTCACAATTGGTATTAACTAACCGATGCTGATAAAATTTTTAGATATATTTATATTTATATGCTAAATATACCTTGTAAATTTTGGATTATAGTATATTTTTATTAGAAGTATTTACAATAACTTATTTGGTATTATGAGTGTTTATTATGCAACTTACAAGCTGTCCATAATCAAACCATATAATAATTATCAATGTGTATTTATTTTATTTCCTGTCCTACCTTTGCAATAACAAGCTTTGTTTTATTACAGTTCTCCCCCATTGCAGACTATGCTTATCTCTTATGTTTTTGGCAGTCTGATTTTTTTCAACAGGAATTTGCAAAAAGTTACTGTAAAAATTACTCCCATATGGTAAAGTACTATATTCAACAAACAAAAGATATATAATGAAAATTTTTCTATGATATATTACAAGGTTATGATAAAAAATAAGCTGTCATTTTTTTATGGCATAGGTACACTAGTATTGTAAATAAATATATATATAATGGTAGAGTTACTGATATTTATCTTTTTTAGTTTCAAATATATAAAGATTTTGATTGACTATAAAAAAAAATATAACCACAAAATAAGTTAAAAATATCTTTCTCTTAAGTGATAGGAGCACAATGTTGGAGATTGCAGCAAAGTAGAAAAGAGATTGTAGAACAATCAAAAGATAAATTGAAAGATTTGGCAAGGTAAGAACAAAAAAAAAAACTGGCTTTCAGGATGTCACAAAAAGTGATTTCTGAAAAATTAACATTGTTTTAAGTAAGAAAAGTGCATTGATTAACAAGTAATTATTTGCAAATGTGAAGAGATAGAGAGAGAGAGAGAGAAAGAATATTTAGAATATTGGTTAAATACATGAAAGGAACCAAACTACTACTTTTAAGTAAATATCAGAAAGAGTAACCTGTAAGTTAGGCAAAGAAATATAGGCAAACTGATTTCCCAACAGTAATTTTTAATAATGAATAAATATAGAGTTGTATTAGATAGAACTGATGACTGAGTTAGAGGTTGGCTTCTTCATGGAAATAATTAAACATGATTTAGATAACAGGAAGATGTTTTTGACTAGTATTTGTGTCAATAAAAAATTCTTCGAAGATGATCATATCAAGATAAATACAGAGAATTATTCTAAGTTCTTGAACAAGGAATTTTTAGTGGTACAGGTCATAGGAGTATATTCATGCATGAGAATTTTCCTTCCCATACCATAAAAATGAATATTGCCCACCCTACCAAAAATGAAGACAAACAAAAACACTAAATTAATGGAATGCTTCCCAGTCTTTCCAGATGTTATTAACCCAATAGAACATTTATCCATTATTAATATTATATATATATATATATATATATATATATATATATATGGGAGTGGGAAAACTATTCAATCGAGAAAAAAAATTTGCATAGTAATAAAACAGTTCTGAATAATGTTAAAGTTGATGCAGTAGAAAAGTTAACAAAATCATTGGAAAATTGATGACGGTCATAGAATGTCAAGGAGCTGATAGACATAGAATAACAAAATAATTTATTCAGATATATAGGATATCATGTTAATCAAATGTCTAGTTATATAGCCTAAACTTTTTGGATTTATTTAGAAATTAAAATTTGTCACACTTTGCATAATAAAACTCAACACCTATAAAGTATTAGGTTAGTCAGAAAGTCCTGACTCACTTAGAAATTGGAAAAAAAAAAACAACAAATTTTGATCTCTGTCTGGTGGAATTTCCAAGGAGTATTGCATTTCAAGTTTGTTCCACAGTCACATCATCAACACTAAACTGTATTACTAGCAGCTAGACCACATGTACAATAAACTAAAGAAGGAGTATCTTGATTTGGTCAATTGAGGTCTAGCTTTGTTTCAGCAAGAAAATGTGAGGCCACACACTGTCAGGTTGACAAATGGACAGTGTTTGGATTCTTCCACATACACCATTCAGTCCTGATGCTGCTGTGAGTGACTATGACTTATTCCACTTAATCGCACACTTCCTCCACAACCAACACTTTTGATGAAGTAAAGTAAGCTTGTTTACAGTTTTTTATTCCAAGCCAGTAGACTGGTATCTGAGGCAGATGCAGAAGCTGGCTGATCACTGGCAGATCATCAAGAATGATTGACTTTATTTTGATGAATAAATGTTGGTGTTGCTTCCTAAAATTTTGGTGTTTTCTTTTCACTTCCTAAGTGAGTCAAGACTTTCTGGCCAACCTAATATCAATATTTTTACTAAAATCTCAGACCACTAAATAAGTTATTGTAAATATTTCTAATCAAAATATATAAGCTGAAATTAATGTTTTTTTTTTTCATTATTATCCTGAGAATTATATCAACATCAGTTGATTAATTTACTTTTGTATTTATTCAGACTATTCTCATCTTGATCATTATAGATGTCATTACAGACATAATGTTTTAGTCAAGTATCCTCTGGCCATCATCAGGTCTTTATTGTTTGGCTGTTATAAAAAAAAAGATTTCATCTGTTTAATCAGGATTTATTTTTGCCTCCACACCCCAAGCTTAAAAAAAGAGTTCTCAGAACTTTTACAAACACTTAATATAAATCAACATATACACTTCATACACCATTTATGCAATTTATCTACCAAAATAGAAGGGAACACATTTGGTCGTTCAAGGCCAGAGTGCTCCCAATCACTACAGAAGTTAATATAGATAATGTGATAAATAATGCAAGATACTGATGTCTAAGTGTAAATATATATATATATATATATATATATATATATATATATATAGAGAGAGAGAGAGAGAGAGATAGATCAGAAGGTATGTAGGTAAAAAAGAGCTATTGTAAATCTTATGAAAGTAAATGTCTACTTTAATCAGAACTGAAAATAATCTAATTGGAAGGGGACAAACTACATATATCCTGTTTAGAAAGGATAAACTATAAAGAACAATCCATATCTGAAGGGATGTACTCCAAATAATCCTGATGAAGAGGGTCAAATATAGCAAAAGGGACTGGGGTTAGAAATTGACGGTTACTTGTGTTAATTAATATGCAAATAATAAGATTGTGGTAAAGAGAAAATTTGAATTGTTGAACTTTGTATAGACAGAATGTTATGTAAATTAAGCTATAAAAAAAACTAGTTGTTTTGAACAATTGGTTTCAATTTCACAAACCGTGAATGTAATAGAAATTATTTTTATCATATTTATAGTTTTCTCCTTATGACATAAACAAGAAATAAAAGTTTTGCTAGACTCAACAGATATTCAATATGAACATTCTGAATGCTATCGGAGAGAAAAGATAAAAATAAAAAAAATTGTTTCTGAAGACAAAAAGAGAAAAGAGGAAAATAACAAAAGCGAAAAAAAACACAAAATAGGATGTGTGAAAAACCGAAGTCTGAAGAGAAAAATGTTCAAGAAACAAAAATGGTAACAATAAGAGAGAAAAAAATGAAGAAGAATCAGTGAAAGAGTGAGTCAATTTCTGTGATAAATAAAGTGGAGTGGCAAGGAATGTGTAGTAAATATAAAATGATCCTACAACTGAAAAGAGAAAGAATGGACATAGAAAGAAAACAGACAAAAAGTGCCTGAGTAGGAAATAAGCAGAAGATTCCAATGAGGTGTTGTTGCCTGTGGCAATTACTTGAGTACAAATGAGATTCAACACTGAATATTACTGTGGTGGTAGGGGAGGGGTTGAACAGATACAACAACTGGAACAAACACACCAATACAAAGATATACACATGAAATCATTATTATCATGAAAGTTTGAGTGAACACTGCTGGTCATGAACCAAGTTCATTTCTAAATAGACCTTTACTCATTCTCATGATTCTTTGAAACAAGTATACAATGGTGGCTTGCCATTGCCAACTTTGAGTGCAGTTGTCACAAGCTTCATTTAGTGTGTACCAAAGCTTGAATATACTGTATTTACATTTAATATTAAAGTATTGTGGAATTAGGCTAGGTACAAGTAGTCTGGATAAACATTAACCTAACAGGCACTTCACCTGTGCATATAAAACCTGGGAAATCTTTGTAGATTAGTTTTTTTTTTAAAAATGGTGGTAATATGTTATCAAACAGTTATGAAGTTTAAATTATTTCTTAATAATATGTTTCTTTGCAATAAATGGGAAAAATCTTAATTGCCAACAGTTTTGGAAATAAATGCCCAGGGAATAAAAAAGTAAAAAAAGACTATATCTGTTCAAATAAGTGTATGGAAAACACCTATTGTAGTAGAGTGATGGTTGTTGTTCTATTTTCACAGTCCATTACTAATGGGTTCTGCCCCTGTTGTAAAATATTAATCTAACAATTACATCAAAACATGTATAATCAAAAATAGTACAAATTCTAACAATTCAATATTTAGACAATGGATTAACCCAGTCAATGTAATTGTGATGAGATCTTTTCTCTTTGCTACTTGTTTGCACTACTGGTGAGGGGGAGCAAAATCTCCTCTCAAAACATTATCTTTCA